TGCTGCTGCTGCTGCTGCTGCTGCTGCTGCTGTTGCTGTTGCTGCAGCTCTTGGTGGTGATGGTGTAGCGAAGCATGGTAGCCGGGAGAGGCCGTCGGCTGATGCACTGCCGAAGACACGACCGACTGGTCAGCCTGGTCGGACCAGTACAGGGAGAGGTTGCCAGGCTCGTTGGAGCGCCCAAAGTCGTCGCGCGCAGCGTCGAGGACCTCAGGCCGGCGCAGGTCCGGATAGCTGGGTCGTTGCATGACGACTTGCATGGACGGAGAGGCAGACCCGGGCGACACGCGCTCCTCTTGCTTGAGCGTTGGCGAGGTGATGGTCCTGACGGACGTTTGCGAGTCGCTTCGTCGGCGTGGAGCAAGTACAGCAGCGTTGGCCTTGTTGGCTTGCACTGCTGCGGCGCGTTGGGATCGCTGTGGCACGTCGACAGGAGTCGCCATCATGTCGAGAGCGGTGTGGAGAGGAGAAGATGATTGAGGTGAGGAGAATGAAGAGAGGGGAAAAGCGGACGTTGGAGCCAGGAGGTGGTTCGTGGAAGAAGAGGGCGGAGGAAAGAGACACGAGTTATCTGGGAGTCAGTACGAGTAGGGAGCGTGTTGCGAAGAGCTCTGAACACGACGAGCAGCAGGCGGCCGAGGCAGGATGCTTCCGCGGTCGAGCGGGCAGACGAGCGCTCTTGACAGTGCATGAGAAGCCGGGAGCGTGCATGAAACGGACCGAAGGCACTGCGGCTGGAAAGGTCGGAGGAGCGGAGTCTGCCTGGATCCCACAGGTTGACACGCAGCGTGCCGTCTCGGAGGAGGCCTTGTGCGTCTGTGTGGGAAAAGCGAAGCGCTTCAGGCGAACGGCCGGCGAGCTAGAGCCGAGGCTGTGTGTGTGCGAGGGAGATGTGGGGCTGGTGTCGGGCGAGGATCGAGGAAGCAGCTGCCAAAGCGCACGCGGCGCCTTAACGCCCACTCAACAATGCATTGTGTGGGGGGGATTTCGCCAGCGGCATAAGCTGCACAAGACCGACCGAAGCGACCTAGATGGACAGGGTCTTGGACCGGTCGAATCTCGGTGCTGGCAACGAGCAAGCCATGGCGTTCGGCAGGTGCACCGAGAGCCAAAGCTTGTGTGCGAGCGGACACGGAGGCCAGGAAGGAGGGGGGGGGAAACGGTTGAGCTTGTTTGGTGCGCCATGCAGCCTCGGTGCCTGACGGCGAGCACACTCGTTGATCGCCGTTGCAAGCAAGTCGAAGCTCGACGCGTCCGGCGTGGGACCGAGGGGGGCGACAATGCGTGCACAGCGAGTGTGAGGGTGTGTGTGGGTGGGTACTTGGAAACGCCGAGACGGACAGCTTTTGCCCCTAGCCCAGCCGGATGCGTGCAGCGTAGCCACGCGTGAGCTTGCCAACTAAGGTTTGGCGGAATCAGGGCATCTTTCCCGCGTCCCACCATTGGTCGGAGATGTCGAGCTCGCCGCGCCTCGGCGGCTTGCCGCGGTGGTGGCGAGATGAAGTGGCACCCACACGCTCTGACGCAGGTAGGTTGGCCACCCAGCGACGCGAATGCTGGCAAGGTGACAACAAAAAGACGCAGCAGCTTCATTGGGCACGCGACGGATCGTCGGCAATAACACTCTCTTTGGGTCGACAGCCATGCTGGGCGTGGGAGTCGGACGATGGTCGCAGGGCCGGCTGCACAAGACACCTGTACTTACCGGTCAAAGCAGTCGTGAGCCGATGGGTGTAAGGAGGAGGTGGAGAAAAGGTTGCCGGGGGCGAGGTCGGCTTGGCAACGAGGGCGACTTTATGCTTGGCGAGAGTGGGACCTTGCATGGAGTCAAGCAGCGTGGAGAAGGGCAGAAGGAAAGGAGCGAGACCAGGCCGAACTGCGATGGTTGGTGCGAGTTTGTCGTGAGAGAGGGGCCTCTCTGCGAACTTGTGCGCCAGGGGCTGCCTGAAACGCAGGTGGAGGATGGCGCTCACAGAGTCAGAGAGGGGATCCTATGCCGAGTGCTGCGGCTCGAGTGGGCTGGAGTGCAAGAGCTGCAAGCGGCGTAGAGCGGGAGAACCGTGCCGATGGAGGGCCCGTGTGTTTGTTAGTCGGATCGACGACGGGTATGCAATACGCACATGTTGGGCTCGTGCGTACGGGCGTCAGGTGAATGTCGGAGCCGTGGACGGCACGGATCTCAGTGCCGACGGCTCTCAGTGCGGGCACAAGGTTGGTAATTCTACCCGATCATTGAGGCAACATTGAGAGGGTTGATATGGTCGACGCTAAGGGGATGATAGGAGGTATTTGATCGCCACACGTCGCGCGGGCGACAATGTCAAGACGCAATCGAAGCGGGTGCAGGAAGAGCATGCACGTCATACTGTAAGACTAAAATTCCCCACGGCAGCATCGACGATGTGGATGGAACGGGAAGGAGCAGAGGGCCTGTGCTAGCTCAACGACAAGTTCTAGAGCAACAAGCCGTAATGCAAAGGCATGTGCACGGGCTCACGATGAAGAGGACTAACAAACAGGCAGCATGAGCGGGGCGGCAGATAAGCTATTGGAGCAGCCAAGCTGTGTTTAAGCTTGGATGACAGCGAGGCGACTCAGTCGATGCCGACGATGTCATTCGAGATGGAAGCGGAGCGGGACGCAGGTGAAGGGGGGCTGATGCTTCATGGCGAGCGCGCGCCCATTGCAGCGCTGGTGGGCGATAGGGGACGCAGCTGCGGCAGCTGCAGCAGGTTTGGCAGCGGGGCGCCACGATTTGCGCTTTCACTCTTCCGATGGGCAAGGACGGGTGGCGCGGACGAGAGGTCCCTGCGACCAAGATTCGAGACGATGCTCATGCACACACGAGCGGAGACAGGTCGGCTACGCCCAAGCGAAGGTCCGAGCGTGCATCATGGTGCAAATGGACTGGTGGCCACTGCGCTCGCCGTTGATCGAGAACTCGGGCGGTGCCGGCTTGGCTCAAAGCCATTGATAGCAGTATCGAGGCAGTTCTCAGCTGAGCGAGCGCTGTTGAGCCAGTACCTTTTGATGCATTGCTCGACATCATGTTTTCCGTATGTTACGAGGCTGCCAGGCTACGCACGCGCTTCTGGCGGGGCTGGCGGGGCGTAGCGGAAGGCGCGCGCGCCCCTGTTTTCAACTCATTCGACTCTGCTGCTGGGCTAGCATAACAGAGTGACATCGCCGATCCCAGTGTGGTTTGGACCGATAGCGACCTGAATCTGGATGCGGTGCAGGGCGGCAAGAGATTGCCGGACAGACGAGAGCATGCGTGCCGTTGCGGCCACCTGTGTGCACACGCACCGGTCCGCTGTCCGAAGGGTGGAGCGAGGCGGCCGGGCCGACCGAAATCGCGCCGCCGCTCGGATGTCAGATCTCATCGCTGCGTTCAGCCGCCCAAGTCGTAGCCTTCGCTGGAGGTTCGGATGCCACTTCGGCACTCAACCTAGAGCTTGCGTTTGGAACGCCAGCATGTTTGCGACGAATACGGCCAGGCACCGAGCCGCCGCCCTGAGCCTATGCCACACCGTGGCTCGACTGCAGCGATATGTCCGAATGCGAGGCTCAGTCTCGGAGTTCTGCCGGGGGCGAGCTGGCAGCCGAAAACAAGTTGGGGCAGAAAAAAAAAGCCCAAAGGAAAGGTGGAGGGAGGCACAGGTGGAGGGCGAGGGCGAGATCACGCCTTGCTGCGCTTGAGGCTGCAGCTGCTGATGGGCTTATCGGAGGGGCAAGCATCGATTGCAGCTGCATCTCTCTGCCAACTCATCCTGCGAGATCCTGCGCTGGCCCGCGCTCCCGATCAAGCCAGAGGCAGCTTGGACCTGACCGGCAATCCTCCTCTCTCGTTGTTATTGCTGACTCGACGTCTTGGTCGCCGCTATTGCCTCGTTCTCGCTGGCTTTCGCTGTAGCTCTGCATTCCATTCTCTGCGAAAGGAGTTTCCACTTTGTTGACAGCACTCGCCAGGAGGAATCTTGAGGAGGTCAGCCAACACCAAAACCGCAGCAGCGATTTGCGGTGACGTTAACGCGCTTACAGGGGGAGCAGCAGGGCGAGCTCGCTTTTCTGAGGGTGGTTGCGCGGCGCGTGGCCCAAGGCACAACGTCACTGCTCGAATTTCGCACATCTCCATCAGCAGCAGCGGCAGCAGCAGCAGGCGTCCGTGCCCGGTTGAGCTGCACACTCAAAATCCTAAAATCCTATTTCCCACTCTGCGGTCAGCCTCAGCTCGCGCCGGG